CAGAGATACCGTGGGAAATAACATGGTGCTTTTACCAGTTATATGCCATGCCATAAGAACCGTTGGCATTTCTTTTATTTTTCAATACAAATATCAAAATATATTTTTTTCCTTCTTCACAAAAAATTTAAATTTTTCATTTATTTTATATGTTTTCATTTATTATATATAAAAAAGATCATCAAAAAGTTAAAAATTAAAGCAAAAAAAGAAAAAAGATTGGATTGTCAGTTGTTAAGCAATCATGCTTAATTAATAAATGTAAACAATTTCATAAAAAACAGATCTTTCAACAAAATATTGTTTAAAAAAATTAAATTTTATTTATTAAACAATTTTCTATTTATTCAATTTAAAAATTTCAGATATTTCATTATTACTATAAATTTCATATATTTATATAATTTTATTCAGTTACTTTTTCATATGTATAAAACGATATTAATACGATACTTTTTTATTAAAAATTAGTAAAAAAAAATTAAAACATTAAATATCAAAAAAAAAAATATAGAATTATCATAGTTATATGCAATTTTAACAAATTAATATATACAAACTATAATGTATATTTGGAGACATAAATATATAATTTAAAAATAAAAAATATTAAACAAAAAAGTTTATCATATAATACCTTTACTTATATAACCAGAGAAACCATTTTTCGTAGAGTATTTAAAAGATATAGAAACACTTTCAAAAAAGTGAGTATACCCAAAGAAACATGCAACATACTCGAAGCAACAGGTTGTAGCGACGCGACGCTTGGAACTCTCAACGAATGAACGGTCGACGACATTCGCGTATACGCACACTACTATAATCCACCTTTTTTCTCTTTCTCACATATAATATATATAATACTATTTTCATTTCATACAATATATATGGACGCATATATATTAATATGAATAAGGTTATCCATAAACTTTTCTATTGTTAATTACATTTATCGCATATTTCTTATAACAACATCTAATGATAAATTCAATATGAACAAACAACTTTTACATATATATATGAACAATTTTTTCGTTTTTATATAGTTAATCTAGCAAATTTTCACGATAAACATAAAACTTTATCGTAGAAATTGATAAAAAAAGCAAAGAAAAATTGAATGAATTAGAACGTAATAATAGCAATAGCAACAGGTCGTTACTTATAACGCGAATCGTTATACGATTGGCCGGAATGACTTTCGAGTATGAAATTCACTCAAACCGAATTCTGTAATGGCTGACGCGTTACTTGACCATTTCAATATGTAATATACACTAACACTCCCGCATATATGTGTATAATATTATTTTGCACGAATTATTTATTACTTCACAACATTTACACATAATTTACAATTTATATATTATATCCACAATTCCGGTAAATCACTGATGATAATACACTTCGAATACGTGTAACTAGCTGACAAGCAAACGGTAGCGTCTCAATTCGACGCCATCGAGATATTTGATTAGCTACTGATTTTTAAAAAATATGAACTATAATTGCCTTATACACAAACAAAACAATTACTTAGTAAAGTAGTATTCGTAAATTTCAGTAGAATTTGTGAAGTAAAGCATAGAAGTACATAAAAAACACAACGTTTTGTTCGGAAAGCTGTAAGCGCGCGCGCACGCGCGCATCAGGATGATAATGGAGTCTGGGTCCTTGAAAACTGAAATCGTACCCTTTGAAGAAATCTGGTCAGCTCTCTTAGATGGAAGAAGAACCCCTCTCTCTACGATATGAGAATGCACACTATCCTTTTTCAACCAATAAGAATGAATCCAACATTCCCCTCCATAATAGAGTGTCCTTTGTGGGAGACTGAGAAAAAAGAAGAGGGGATAATGGCGGCGATCTACCTGAACGATTTTTGTGGCGGGAATTACGGTATTTCAATAAGATCTTACAACACATCAAAACAAGAAACCACCTGCCGAAAAATAGTATTGGAATTTCTAGTACTCAATGATAATAGTGTAAGCATAATTAATATTATAATATTATATTTTAATAATAATTGTTAGTAATATGATTTTAAAATCTTCTATATTTATAATAAGAAAATATTACTTAAATTTAAAAAACAAAATTTAATTATTGCAGAATTTTATTAAAACTATATGATATATAATCTTAAAATATATAAAACCTTGAAATATATATTTTGAATTTAAATTAAAGAAAATTGAAATATATAAGAAAAAAATCATAAAAAGAATACTTGCTAAAATAAATATAAAATAAATAATTCAATTATATATAATAAAACTTTATTTTGTTAATTATAAAGAAATTTCAAAATTAATTTATTCCATAATATATAATATATAATATATAATTAATTCCAATATTAAATGTAATAATAAAATTTAAAAATAATTATAAATATATATTTAAACTATATTTTTTATATTTAATAAAAATTGTAATATGTAAAATATGTAATATATAATTTATTATATTTATAATATTTATAATATTTATAATAAATATATTTTTAAATATAAATTTGAAATTGTTAATTTACAAAAAAAATCAAATAATATATTAATAAATAAAAAGATAAAAATAATATAAAAATAACTAAAAATTTTATCTAATTCGTATTATTTTGTTAGGTACAATTTTGAATTTTTTTATGTAGAATAAGATCTTCAGGTAGAAATCTTACGTCATTGTTACTATAGACCATAGATCGACCATAAAGAATGCAAAGCAATGTTGCCAAATCGATATAAATCATAGAATTGCCAAGGTTGAGACAAAATTCAATATTCAATTTTAAATTACAACATTTTTAAAATATTTTGAAATATATTATACTTTAAAAATTATTGAACACTTTTTTTATGCTTTTATATATAATACATATGTACATTTATGAACATTAATTTTAAAATTATTAATTAAGTAAAATGTAATATATTTTACATAACTTGTAAAAATTTTAGTCTTATGTTAAAATAGTATATTATATAATATTATATATCAAATAGTATATAATATTATAAAATATATAATATATAATAATATATTATATATAGTATATAAATAGTATATAAATAGTATATAAATATATAGTATATTATAAAATATATAATAATTTATTTTTAGGTATATTATATAAATATAAATATTTATTTTTATATTTTTCATTGAATAAAATATTTATATATATGTTAAAATATAATAAATTAAAAAAATTTTCTTGAGAATGCAAATTATAATTATGCAATAAAATTTGATTATATTATATATATAAATATCAAATATTCATTTTATTAATGAAAAATAAAATTGATAAATTTGGCAACAACATGTTAGAAAATCATTACAAGAATAGAAATCTTTCCTTTTGAAAGAAAGAATAATGAAGACTAACAGATTTTAAAATCAAAATAATCCATTAAAAAATTCAATGAATATTTTGTGAAGAAAAATAAAAAATCTTAATTTCGACCAATAAAAAAAAATGCAATATTTTGCAAAATAATTAGTAATGAAATAAATTAAAATATATTAAATTTTTTTTACTAAAAATTATCATTTAATGATAAATAATAATTATAATAAAATAACTAAAATATATATAACTATATATATATATGTACATATACATGGTATACATGTATTTATAGGAGATATATATATATATATACATGTCAAAACAAAGAATAATTAAAATAAAAACTCACCTTTGATGTGGTACATTCTCCACTGTTATACAGTTCCAAAACATTATTACTATAATTAAATAATATGTAAGGCTAATATATAAAAATATCATAAACACAAAAGAATAATAATAAGAATTTTTTAAATTTTATATATGATAAATATATATAAAAGGATACATAATATCTTCTTTAGGTTGTATATCGAGAGTATGTATATTTGATATGCCTTGTGTTACGACACATTCACTATTTTTTTTAAGTTCTTCATCTTCAAATTGAATAAGATTATTTATTGTTGGATTAATATCTAATGAATGTGTAATAGTATATGCTACCCATGATTCTAAAAATTTTTCTTCATCTATATTATAAACATGACAAAATTGTACACCTAGATAAAAAAAATTAATTGAAAATCTGTTAAATAAAAACAATACAATATATTTTATATATTATAAAAATTAATGCAAAGTTAAAAATGTTAAAACAAAAGTCTAAACATATAATAATAAATATATTTTATTATATATTTTATTAAAATATAAATAATAGTTCATAATATGTAAAACAAGCTTTCTAAGATGAGGTTAAAAAACAGATATAATTTTTTAAATATATATATATACATTAATATAAAAAATATAATAATTATTAAATATATAAAATATATTTAAATTAAAATTGAATTGTTTCTTAAATAATAGTATTTAAATCAAGAATTAATCAAAGAATTTATATAGGTTAGAAATGAAATCTATTAATTTTAAACTATAAACTTATAAATAACTTACATTTATCGATGATGGATTTATCGGAAATATCACAACCTAAATTAACGAAACACAAACTTAATGATTCTTTTGACATTTTAATATACTGTGCTTTTCAGTTTTTTCCCGCCAATAGATATAATAAAACAATACACGTACATGCGCAGAATCTTCATTCATATTCAATGCTTTATATATGTGTGTGTGTGTATTATAGAGAAATATCACATATTCAATGACGTAAATAGTCACAATAAATATAAATGTAATTGATAAATATTTATGTCGATAATATTATTTTTATTATATATTATATATTATTATGTAATATTATATATAAACAATATATATAATATATAATATATATATATATATATATAAATAATAAAAAAAATGCTTTTATATTTTTGAGAATATATTTTATTTTAAGATATTTGTTAAATATTTATAATAAATTTATTTTATACAAAATTCTTATTCAATAAAATATTTATAAAAACAATAAATGTCATTATTTTTTATGATTATGATTCTTATCCACATATACATATACAAATGTTACAATATATATCAAAAAAACAAAAAATATTTTTGTAATATTTGTATTAAATAGTTAATTATCTTCGAATATAAAATGTTGTTTATCTTTTTCCATAATTTCAATAAGTGTTTGCGAAATATCTGTAGAAGGAAATCTTTCTATCCAAGATTGAATCAATCCAGCAAAATTGGGTTCATAATTTTTCAATTGTACTTCATTTTCATCTATTTTCACAATAAACAAATTAGTATAATAGTAATATAACTGTAATATTTTATAATATATATTACTATTTAAATACAAACCATTAACGAATGTATTAGATTGAACAAATATCTTTCGGGGTTCCTTGTGAGCTAAAACTATATCCCTCCAACGTGCCCATGGATGTGGTTCTATTTCAGGTACTTCACTATATTTTTCATACATTTTTCTGGCTGCTTCAATATCACCTGTACTTTTATAAATTTGTAATTTAGTTAAAAAATCTCCAATTGCTTTTTTACCAACTGTTAAAATTTTTGTTCTATTAACAGTTAATAATAAATTCTTTCCAGGCTCAGATTCTACAACATCAACAAAATCATTGCCAGCTTCTAAACAAACTCTAAGTAAAACATATCTTGCTTGAGAATGAGCTTGCAGCCATTTCCCAGTTGATGGTTGATACATTTCTAAAGCTTTTGCACAACCAGTCCATAATAGACATAACCAATTTACATATATTATATCATCTGCTTCAGAACCTTCATATCCAAATATACTTAATATATCTTTTTCTAAAGATAAATATAATCCAACTGCTTCTGCTCTGCATTCCTCATAAGATGATCCCAATGACCCAAATTTCGAATCATATGTTTCACCAGGTAAAAAATATTTATTTATTAATTCTCCAGTTAAAGGATTTTTTACTTTTCCAATATTGAAATTATATAAACCAGATTCCAATTGTTTCAATAGTTTACCTGTTCCATGACCAAGAAGTTCATGCAAAGCAACTTGCACTTCAAAGCTAGCTACTCTATAAGTATTCATCAAAGTTTGATCATGTTCAGATAAAAATGGTATTACATCTAATTTCATATTTGCAGGAATTACATTACCCAAAGAAACATTCTTAAATCCTTCTGATTGCCTAATTTCATCATAATTTGGGATATTTATACCTGCAGGAATACCAGATCCCGAGAATGTTAAAACATCCAATGAAGTAAAATCAGGTCTTAGAAATTCATCTTTTTCAAAATCTTTACCCCACGGGAGTTTTGGTATAAATTTTTCTGCATTAGTTACCAATGTAGCAAATTTTTTGGACATTTCTTTATTTACCATTGCTACAAATCCTTCAAATTCTCCTCTTTGACCTGCTGGATCTCTATAAGTTTCAATAAAACCTATGTAAGTTTCTATAACTGGTCCTTTGTCTTTAATCCATAAACGAGAACCATCCTTGTGATCTTGTAAAGATCCAGTTTTAAAGTGTTCTATGTATTTATTTAACATATTTTTTTCAATTTCATTTACCGCATATTCTTTTGCTTTTTGAAGATTATGAACAACTGGAATCAGAAGTTTACTGTAATCTCCTCTTGTAATTCTAAATTTTGCATTTTTAAATACTTCTTCTGATAAAGTAATATTAGAATCATTATTGGTTTCCACAGAAGCTAATCTAATTTCATATATATCAAATTTACAATCATTTTGATCATTTGCTATTTTAAAGCACCTTGTATTATAACATTCTAATCCTTTACTTTGCATAAAATCATTAACTAACTCTGCATCTTTTTCTGTGCAATTAGCAGAAAAATAAGTTGTAATTCCCTTTTCATTCAATCCTAGAGATTTTAATTTTCCTTTAATAGAATATATTATATTTTGAATTTTATTCCAAATTTCTTCAATGTTTTTGGAATTATTTTTATATGCTTTTGAAACTTTTATTATAGTTTCAAATTTATCCTTAGGTAAATTTGGAATTATTTTACTATCACCAAAAGATTTATAATTACCAGCATTTGCAAAAATTCCACATGAATACACTAAAAATGCCTAAAAATAAGAAATAATTGTACAATTAATATTATATTTAAAAAATGAAATTATTATTTGATATAAAACTTACTATAAATTCATCTTCACTAATATTAACATTAAATGCAGAATTTTTCAATTCATTTATTGTTTCAGATATGAAGATTTTATGTAGTAGAGCAAATATTAACGGTGATTCTGGAGAAGTTTGAACAAATACAATAAGACCACCATTCCATGCAGCTTGACTTAAATAATGTGCATATAATTTTTCATTTTTTGTTAAAGCATTAAATGCAGTATCACATTCTAATGCAATTATCGGTTGTTTATTTGGTAAAGTAAATAAAGAAATATCTTCACTCATATTTGTAGACAATAATTTTACACTAAAATACAATGTTATAATTTAATAAATTTATTGATTATATTTTAAATTCTATATAAATTTTTATATAAATATAAACAATACGGTATTATTAAATTAATAAATTTAATAAAATCTTTTGTAATTATGACATTTTAGAAAAAATATTTAAAAATAGACGTAATAATAAAAATTTAGACTTTTATACATATGTTATATGCATATATAAATATATAAAAATATATATATACATACACTGAAAAAAATACATATATATATATATATATATATGACAAATCAAACGATACATAACCCACCTTGAAATAAAATTATTTTCGAAATGCTTAATTTTTTTATTTGTATTTAAAAGTATAGATCCACTTTTCTTTATTTTAATAGTTATATTAAATGAAAAAGTCCGTATGAAATGAAGCTTGGTTTTCGAAACAATCTTCTGCCAATAAAATGGCCACGTGTACAACATATCTCCGCATTTATTAAATTATAATTTAAACGTTACAATTTATCCAAAATAATCAAAAAATGTTAATAAAAACAACTAATTGTATTTTTATATATACATATATACAAAATTAAACTTATTTATAATTAAATTATTACATAATAAATTATCCTTTTTTAAATCTTTAAAGCACAATTATCAAAATTTCCTAGATAATCTAGTTCTTAAACTTATTAAAAGTTACAAGTGATTAATAATGGATTCTAAATTATCTTTTTTAATTTAAATTTTCTAATTTTTCTTTACAATATATATATATATATTTCATATAAAATTCAAATTTATTATTAAAAATATAAACAAGTTAAATTTTCTTATATAATATGATAAATTATATATTTAATATATTCTTTTTTTTATATTTAATTTTTTTCATTACAGTTTTGTATATTACACAATAGTTATTTAATAATAATGTTATTTATTCATTATTTTTATAAAATAAAACAAATTAGATAACTTTAAAGTTTAAAGTGTAATTATATTAAATACAAAAATTAAATTATTTTTTTGAAAAGCATATTTTAAACATTTTTTTTACAAATATAGATTTTTATAGAAAAATAATAAGTCTTTTATTCTTTAACATCTCCAATACCATCTGTATTTATTGCAAACATTGCTTCGCTTTCAGGCAAACAAGGTGAATCATAAATTTTACATATTCTAGTTTCACCTCTACCTTTACGTAGATATAATCTTGTAGTACTTGCATGAGCTATGATGTGACCTCCAATTGGTTTTTTTTGATCTCCTCCAAACATGCTAGCTGCACCATCAACTTGTGCCACAACTTGATTGGTTATAACAACAGCGACACCATGTTCATCAGCTAGTCTAAGTAACATTCTAAGAAATCTGCCTAAATGCATTTGTCTAGCAGCTAATTCTCCTCTTCCAGAGTATTCAGTTCTATATAAACCAGTTGCACTATCTACTATCAATAATGCATATCTAGATTCTGTCATCATAGCACTAGCTTGAATTAATAGTTGAGTTTGATGATCTGTATTATAAGCTCTGGCACATGCTACATTATCTAATACAGAATCTCCTGCAATTTTATATCTTTCAGCAACAGCAATTAATCTTTCAGGTCTAAAAGTTCCTTCTGTATCTATATAAAGACATTTTCCTTCTGCACCTCCCATATCTATAGGTAATTGACAATTGACAGCAAGTGTATGACATAACTGAGTCTTTCCTGATCTAAATTCTCCAAATATTTCTGTAATAGAACCTGTTTCTATACCACCTCCTAATAATCTATCTAATTCGCTAGAACCAGTAGTTACAAAAACTATATTTGATCGAGTTTGATGAATTTCAGTCGCACTTTTAAATCCCATCACAACTAATTTTGATGCTTCTTGTAAAATTTTATCTGCTTTAGCTTCACTAATTCCTTTGATAGCAATTAAACATTTTTTAGGAGCATATGCTACAGCTTCCACAGTATAATAACCAGCTTCTTCTAATTTTTTTACGTCTCCTGCTGTTATGCCATTTCCCTAAACAAAAAATATATTCTATAAATAATTTCTATAATTTAATATAATATATATAGTATATATAGTGTTAATCATATAAATGCTTTCATATAAATATTTAAAAATTATAATGAAAAAAAGAAGTGATATATATATATAGGTTACAAAAACAAATTACTTCTAAAGTTTTTATTAATTTTGCTTGTGGATTATATTCTTCAAATTCTTCATCTCCTTGAAGACTAGCTGTAGATGCCATAGCTGACATTTTATGATATAATATACACTTTAAATAATAAAAATTATTAACGCAAAAATAAGAATTCAAAGCAAGTATTAACTTTGCGCCAAAATATTATGACGCCATTACTGATGTCAAAATAGTTTTATGTAATTTGCATTATTTAATATTATTTATTATTCTAAAAAATAATATACTATTTAATACTAAATTCATAAAAAATTATATTAAGTAAATAAATTAATATTTAATAATTTATTGTAATTTACAAATTTTTTTAATATATTTATATTTATTATTAATATTATTAATATTTGACAATTGTGTTATTAATAATATTATTATTATATTCAAAGTAAATATATGAACTAAAATAAAAAAATATACGAATAAAAATTTATATTTTTAATTAACTCTGTTGATAATACTTCACTTTATTGTAAATCTATATAATTTAATCTAAAAACTAGATTACGCATTTATCGACAATCAACATTATAAGTTTCTATTAAAGATGTCTCTTCATTCGAAATGAAATCAAGGAAGAGAAAAAGGTCAGGAACGAAAGGCATTAGGTCGAGACGAGACAGATTATATCTGTTCTGACGTCTGACCATTAAGATAATTGTATATTTATCCCTAAAGTGTTCTTAAAAGGGGACTGTTATATGAACACTACATGTTTTCATGCGCGATTCTTTGTTGAAACATCGTTGGATTGACAACATATTTATTATATACAATAAAAATGGCGACTTTGCATAAGAAGCATTTTTGTTCATCAAACATAACTATAAGCGCTGTGTTTTTTGATCTGGACAATACTCTCATCGAAACCAGAAAAGGCGACAATCAAACATGTCGAAAGGTATGCTAAAATATTTGAAATTTTATTGGTGTCAAAAACTGTATGCGTGTACATATATAAACGGTCAGTATTGGTTAATATACTAGAAATGTGTGTATGTGTATATATATATACATATATATATGTCATTCCTGGAGAGTGCGCGAAAAGTAGTTCAATTTTTTATTCGAAATTAGAAAAATGTAAAGGTCACTCATTTTGTTAATTTATTAATTATTTTATATATTTCTTCTTTTATAATAGATTTTGTATTGTTCCAAAAAATATCTTATGGTAATTAAATTTACATTTAATCTCTCAATTTCGTTTGGATACGAAGATCGACGAAAATAGAAACTTCTGTGTAATACGAGCCGACTCCCTGATATAGTGCTTTCTCTCGGACGGTTATTTTCGACCGATCCTACTGTCCAGACGCTCAACATAACGTAGATAAAGCGTGTAAGCACGTTACTAAAGATTTTGACGTTCTTAAGATATCAATTAGTTGTATAACGCAATTTTATTCACACGTTGTATTACGCGGAAAAGGTTATGCTAGGATTATATATATATTTAAAATCTTTTTCCAATGAAATTCTATTAAATAAAATTATTTTGAATAATTTTTAATATTATTTTTTAATAAATAAGCAATTGATATTATTGATAAACTAAAAATTGACCGTAAACTAAAAAAAAATAAAGAAAATTGTTAACCTTATATTAATAACAATTCATATTTGAATAATAATTATACATGTTTGTGGAATAGTATTTGTGGTAGTACAACTTTATTTCTGTCTGCTTAAGTGAGTGTGTCAAAGGGCAAGGCTAGTCTTAAGGGGTTTGATTTGGAAGTTTGGGAGTACTGCCAGTTGGCTTTTAGCTGTGACATGTGAAAGATGCAAGTTTCATTAAATCTTTATTAAATATTATTGGGTAAATATTAATATTCTAATACTTTATATTTTATTTGGGAGATTGTTATCATAGAAAAAATAAAATTATAGAAATATTTAAATTATAATTACATTTTAAATTGTAATAAAGTAAATTATAACCATGAGTATTTCAAAGAATGTGAAAAAGCATGTGACTATTTTAAAGTCTGTTGAATCTGATTCAGAAAAATTTGCTGCTTTATTTATGATTACAAAATTGGTGGATAGTAAAGATTGTACAGTAACAGAAAAAAAAATGTTATTTGAAGCTATTGGAACTAAATTTTTAACAAAATTGTTATCTACACAAGTAGTTCCTGTAGATTGTCCTCCACAAGTATATAAATCTGTAGCACTATCTATACTTTCTGCATTTTGTGGCGAATCAGAATTAGCTTCTCACCCTGACATGATTGTTCATGTACCTGCATTACTTGAAATTGTATCAAAAGCTGATGAAGATGCAGATGATAATATGTTAATTATTGTTAGTGAAGCATATACATGTTTGCAAAATATTGCACAATATTCTCCTGGACAACAAGTTTTAATTGAACATAAAGCTATTGCAAAAATGTGTGATATTTATTCAGAAAAAAGCTTTCAAACAGATAAGGCTTTGAACATTTTAGTTACTTTAGTTCAAAGATTTAGTACAGAAGCATGGGATGCAACAGATACTGCACCTTTTCATGCTATAATAAATAAGATTGCATTAGATTTTGAAACAGATCATACAGAAAGAAAATTTGAATTATGTACAATTTTACAAGCTTTACTAATGTCTTGTACAAAAGACATAATTAGTAAAACTGCTAAAGAAGAATCTTGGCCCTCTAGCATACATAAAGCTTTATCTGATATTCTTGGATCAAAAATAGGTAAAAATCAACGTGATCCAGCATTAAAACTTGCTTCTGTAATGCTAGATTTATTAGGAGCAGAATGGACTTTATTAGATAAAGAAAAACCAAAAGTATTTTTGTTATTATTAATTCAACTAACATCTATAGAAGTTAGAATGCAAATAGAAGGAAAACAATTGAAAAGTATAATGACAAATGCAGATTTAATAACATCTTGTTTTATTATTATTGAAATTTCTCTTGCATATATTACCAATGATCAGTTGGACTTAGATCAGAAAGAAAAACAGTCATTATATACTGTTTTAAAGGGAGCATTTGCTGCAATTATAGGTTTACTCACAGCAGTATCCAAGATGAAAGAAATAACAGATATTAAAGAAAGAATATTTATTTGTGCTGTAGTAAGAGTACTAGCAGCATGGCTTGCCCAGGAAACAACAGCTATGCGTTCTCAAGTTTATACAGTTTTACCTTATGTTTTAACTATAGCTAATGATACATTTTATGCATATAGAAATAGAAAATTAACAGAAAAGGCTAAAGCAAATGCGAAACTTAAAAATGATGAAGCAACATCATCTGGAGAATCAGTTATTAATGATCCTTTAAGTGAAATTGATTTATTGAGGCTTTTATTACCAGCATTATGTTATTTAGCTGTAGAAGAAGATGCAAGAAAAATTTTAATTCAACATAAACAAGAAGAAGTCTTGTTTGAATGTTTATCTTATCATTGGACAATTGTTCATCAAAAAAAACCACCAATACCAAAATCAGAAAGATTAAAAATTTTAAAAGAACCAGAAAAAGAAGATTTAGAACTTCATCTATCAGAAGAAATAAAAGATTCAAGGACAGCCATGGTTTCCGTGTGCAATGTTTTAATGAATATTACTGTATTAGAAGCAAAATTAGTAGAAGAATCACCAACATTTATTTCTTTATTGAAATTTATTTTCAATAATCTTCCAGAACTTAAACAAATTCCTGAAAATCTAGTATTGCATGGTCATCTTGCAGTTTTGGGATTATTATTATTGAAACAACAAGCAATACGTATTAAGAAAAATGATTTTTCTATTTGTCGATATATTCAAGCTACTATAAGATTTTTATGGGATGCATATATAATTGATGAAAGCAATGATCCAACTGAACTTGTTGTTGCCATGTCATATAAAGAAAAGTGGTTGGAACTTATGGAATTATGGTTTCTTGGAATGCAAACAATGGCTGGAGTCTTACAAGTCATACCTTGGCTTTCACAATTTACTCTTGAGTCAGGTTGGGTAGAAGAAATTATTGAAATTCTCAAGAAAATAAAGATAGGAAGTCTTCAGCCAAATGTAAAATTTGCTTTTGAAGATCTTTTATGTCATTTGGTTAAAGCAGATGAAAATGTTGCTTCTGTTTTGAAGAAACGTGGAGCTTTAACTGTATGCAGAAATCATCGTATGATGGAACTTGGAAAACATCTCTTTGGAGACTAAAACATTCTATTATATTTTGAATGAAAATATTTATATTTATATATTGATAAAATAGCTAAAATAGTTAATCCATTCTTATGTTGTCAAGTAATGTGTTTATTTGTGTATACATATTATATATGTTTTTTACATTATATTGTTTATAAAACAAAATTATTATCAAATTATTTGAATTTCTAAATTTTAAGTATACATATATATATATATATATTATATATTATATATTATATATTATATATTATATATTATATATTCATATTATAATAAGAACAGAATAAAAATAATTCATTTTATTAAATAATATTTATATATTAAATAGTTAATTTCAGTAGCTACAATTTTGCAATCCTGAAATTTCATAGATCAAATATAAATTTTGTTAGTAATCATATGTAAGAATAGTTTTTTGGCAAGCAAAAGATTTATCAATTTCTATTTATTAAATAATTTTACGAATTTAAATATTGATATAATATATGTTGAAATAAATTTTTTTTTATATTTTATATTAATTCATGAACTATTTGAAAATTTGTAAGTTTGATAATAAAATATTTAAAATTAATATACTTTAAAAATGTACATATTTGATAAATTTATGTATACATGAATGGCATTGTAAAATAATAAATGGTTTTTTTATTAAAATAAATTGTTTTTAAAATTTTATCTTTTAAAATATTACCTTCCTTTTTATTTAAAAATTATTAATATTAGAAAAATTAGATAAACTTCTAAACTAAATTATAATCATGTATAAATTATTTTTTATTTTAACATGATACATGACAAAATCTGCAGTAATAAGTATAAATTAATATCCAATTGAGTAAAGTTTTGAAAGTTAGAATAATATAAATTTGTTGTTGGCACAACTGATTTTGTTGTGATTACAGCAACGACCGCGGGTGCCACTTCGAGTGTCCACTAATCGGCTCGAGTATTTCAATGAATCAATGCATTTTCTAGGTAATCATCAAAAACTGAATTAAGTGACCTAAATTCCTAACTGATCGTTTGTATCCTTCTTCCCAAGAACTTGGTTCAACCATTAAAATCCACATTCAATATGTGATTTTTGAATATATTTATAAAGTTTATTTTTAACATTTATAATTTTTTTTAATTATTAAAATATCTTATTTTAGACTGTGTTGAATGTGGAAATCATTCATTTTCCTTTAGTGTGTATTTCGTATTTTGTTCATTATTTTATAATACTGCTTGATTTATATATCATAAAATGAATAACATCTAATAAATGATATTTTAACTTTATCTGCAGTTGGCTGAGGAACTAACACAAGAATATGGTATTCCTGAAGATATATCTATAAAGATTACAACAACATATTTGAAGCTCTTTAGAAAATGTCCTGACAATGTAGTTCATACTTTGGATATTTGGCGCATAACTTTGTGGAATAAAGCTCTTGGAGAAAAATATTCATATCTAGCAAGAAAAATTTACGAACGATGGTTATATCTACGATATTATTATTTGACGCTGGCATCAGATGTAATTTCTATGCTTCGTCAGTTGAGGATAAAATATCTCTTAGGTTTGATTACAAATGGTCCTTCTAATGCACAATGGGAAAAAATACGAAAACTTTCACTCGAACAATATTTCGATATAATTCTTGTATCAGGAGATTTACCATGGGAAAAACCTGAAAGAGAAATATTTCGAAAAGCATGTCGATTTTTAAATGTTAAACCAGATAATTGTGTAATGGTTGGTGACAAATTGGAAACTGATATCCTAGGTATTATATTATTATCGTATATTTTCATTACACAATGCATTAATTATTAAGAAATATATTCAAATACCAATAATTTGCATTTTAAATTAATATTATAAAAAAATAATTTGTCATTATTTTTATCTAGGTGGAATAGAAGCAGGTTTAGGTAGTACAATTTGGATTCCAACAGTGGATAAACCATTCTTATTAAGAGAAGATCCACAACCAGATTTTACTATAAGGCATGTCACAGATCTTTTAAGTATATTAAATAGAGGTCCTGATGCTCCAGAACTTGAAGATTCATCTTCAAATGCATCTGATGGTAGTTGATAAAAAAACATATTTTTTTAGGTTTTCTTTAAAAAATCACAGCTGATAGATATAAAATTTTTATAAAACTTGGTAATTGTTTCTTCATAACTAAATAACTATTATTATAGCATGTAATATATTTTATTTTAAAAATAATTTAAATTTCTTATATACAGCATGTCCCGTATACTTTGATGGATAAATCTACACATGAAAACAATAAAAAAAGTTCATATATTCTATTTAATTTTGTTTTCATATAATAAATTTCTTTTTTACATTATACATTTCTTTTACCATATCTTTTTTTATCTCCATTAAAAATGTTCAAAATGACTTTGCATTCAAACATGAGCTAAATGTTTCATCATTAGTTAATTTTATCTTTTTTTATTTCTTCAAGTATTATTTTCTAAAAGTCTTAATTTTTTTGTTAAATTTATTTCGACATTGTCAATAGACATTTTATATATAATAAATATTTAATATTAAGTTTCATTTATAAATAGTTCAATTAATTTTTTGATAAAATTATTTTAATATAAAATAAATATAACTCGAAAACAAAATTAAAGCATATGTTTGTATGAATTTTTTTTTTTTATTATTATTTTCATGTATAGAATATAGATTATCTATTTAAACAATTTTTCGATGTGATGGGATATTCTGTATAATATTTTGTTTTATTTTTACATTATTTTTATCTTATATCAGATTAGTTATTATCTTAATATTAAGAAGAAAAAATAATAGAATATAATTCTAATAGAAAAAAGTGATACTTACTATATATTATTATATTACTATTACTATTAAGTTTCAAGAAATTGTTTAATTTTAATATCTTTTTGTAATTTAGATTTCTTTTATTATTTTTTTAGATTGAAAATGAATTTTATAATATATTTACATGAAATAGTTATATTTCTTAATATAGAATCAAAAATTATTAATTTACATTTTTAAATTTATTTTTTCGATATTTACTATTTAATTATATAATAAATTTTCAATTTATATAATATTATTTAAAGTCAAATTTTAAATAACATTATAAATATATAAATTTGTTATAAGTAAAAATGTATGTTTACATTTAAACATATATTAGTAAGAACAAATAAGAGCAATAATTGTTTTAATTTTGTAACTAATATATCATATGCAATATATGCATTAAATATAATGATCTTTACAAATATTGTAAAAATGTGTGTGTGTATATATATATATAATGCTTATATATATATAAGCATATGTTATAATTGATATATATATATATATATATCTAATATTTGAATACTGCAAATGAATCTAATTACATATATATATTGTAATTATATATGTACATCTGTAAAATATACTTTTTCATAATATATTTTATTTTGTTTGAATAAGATAAATAGAAACAATAATATAAAAGAATCAAGTGAAAATATTTATGTAATACTTATTTTTAATAATAAAAGAAAAAATAACTATATTTAAATTTTTTTTTGTCAAAATATAATATCTAGAAAAATCAACATGAATATTTAAATTTATATAAATATATTTTAGAAATTGTTACTTATTTCCTTAGTTCAGCATTATATATCTATTCTTTTATATTTGTACTTTTTTATTCTTTAATATTATAAGATCATCAGTCATAGAAGCTTTTTCTTGTTCATTTATTTGTACATCATATGATTCTTTTAAATTGGAATTAAGTTGTTCATCTTCTTTCACTCTATATTTTTTTTTTAAATTTTTATCTTTAAATTGATTTTCATCTTTTTTAATTTTCGTTTCAATCTAAAAAATATTTATATTCATAAAATAGAATATCATATTTTAAAAGATCATCAAATCATAGAAATTTTTTGTGTTCATTTATTTTGCATACCTCATGGCCTGTTAAATTAGAATTAAAATTGTTTTCTTCTATTCTACATTCATTGTTTGAATTTTCATTTTTGAATTGATTTTCATCTTTTTCAATTTTCGTTTTAATCTGAAAAATATTTATATTCATAAAAATAGAATGTTACATTCTATAAGATCATTCTTTTTATTTTTTATTTACTTCATTTACCTCATATTCTGTGAAGTTGGAATTAAATTGTTCGTTTTCTTCTATTTTATATTTATTATTTGAATTTTCATTTTTGAATTGATTTTCATCTTTTTCGATTTTCGTTCCAAACTAAAAAATATTTATATTCATAATAATAGAATATCATATTTTACAATTATCTAAGATTATAGAAATTTTTTTCTGTTCACTTTACTTTGCATACCTTATATGATTCTATTAAATTGGAATTAAATTGATTGCTTTTTTCTATTTCATGTTCATTTGAATCTTGTATGCTTTTTGTGTCAATCTAGAAAAAATATTCACATTGATAATGAAATTTTGTAAATTACATATTACTGTAGTTTATATTGAACAAACCAATAAATTATCTTTGCTTTTGAAGGAAAGTTTTTTATAAATTTTTCGAGCTTGTTCAGGATCGATATCAGCTTCTATTAATGATGTTAAGACATCTCTTTCGGTTACACGTAATTCAGGATTAGCATCAACTAATAAAACTGATTTTTTGCCTATTGAATTATTTTTGACTTTATCCAATTTTTGATACCACATTAATTTTTCAGTTACTCTATCTTCATTTAAAACTTTCGGTGGTGTTGGTGGTCGAACTTTGCTAATATTTAATAATTGCTGATATGCAACATTATTTATATCTTCTTCTTCTGAATTATCCGATATATTCAAAGCAAGTTTCAATTGATAAATTTCATACAACATTCGATTCTATTTAAAAATATATTATATTATTTTATATTTATATATACATTATTATATTTAATATTATTTTATAAATTTAAATAATAAATAACATAATCCTAACCATATCTAAAACTTTCTTGTTTTTTTCAATATATTTTTTGAATATCTTGTTTAATTCATCATCAGTATATAAACCATTTACTATTATTTCATGTGTAATTTCATACATAAGTTTAGCATATGTTTCTTCTTCATCTTTTTCATCGATTTTTGGATTATCTATTAAATTATCATAAAATTGATCAGCATTTTCATCACTTCTTGATGTGCTAATTTCTGATGAAAGATCATCATTGACGTTTTGTGATAAAAAACCACAAGATTCACATAGCATTGAATTTTCTTCATATCTATGTACATTTGTATTAATATAAATAATTAAGTAAATAAATGATTAATATAATGATAAATAAAGTATTTATAATTATATATAATTATAATATATATATAATTATAATTATAAATTTTAAAATGAATTTAAATAACAAAGTAAATTTTTTTATTACATTTGATCTTACCTATCATCATGAAATTTCAATGCGTTTTTCGTATTTATAGGATTAAATATTTTTCTATAATTAGTATTTGATTCTGTGCATTGTTTTCTTATATTGCTACTATTCGATATAAATGGCTCTGAAGTATTTATTTTATATATTGGAGAATTAATATAAGCTAAGTGATTACGTAATTTTGGTTTTGAACAGATTGCATTACAATCATAACAAGTAGTAAAATATTTCTGTGCTTGACATTGGCAAAAATACTTTGAACCATTATTCATTCTTAAAAAATCCTATTGATTAATGAATGAAATAATTCGAATTTATTATTTTTTCTTGCATATATATGTTATAATATTTTATGCATAATTATTATTATAATATTTATAAATAATTTTTACCGCTGGATGATATGAAGTATCGTATGCCAACTTATCAATTATATTATTTGTAATATCTGTTTTTGCACATTTTGGTTTCCAGCCAATTTGTTTACATGCTTGCTTTTTTTTACGCATATAGGTTTTGTTTCTGGCATCTACAACACATTTTGCTAGTAAAATGCGTCGCAAATGCGCGCTCATAGAATTGTACGCTGTTAATTGCTCAAAATAACTTTGTCCATTTTGATTGTACACTATTCAATATAAATTTACGGGTTACAAAGATAATTTTGCAAAATATATATCTGTTGAATTATTTAAAATGACGATATTTCAATCAAATTAAAAGATATAGAACAATAAAAAAATATATTTTTACCAGTGCTTTTAAGATTAACTTCACTCTTATTACATCTTGTCATTTCTTGAAAATTATAACAAGTTTGCTTGCCTATGAATTTTTCTTATCTTATACTTAATGTATTAATTAAAAGATATTACAAAAATTTTAAATGATTAATACGAAGACAACAAATTTATATTTTATGAAATGTATAATGACATGAAAAACACTGTAATGTACACGTATATATAAATTTAAAGTTGTTATTATGGGTTACTAAGCAACAATATAATCATTCTTCACTTTGTCGTATACTTATCGATACTATTCTATACTTCATTTATAATTATATTTATAGTTGAATATTTAAATTCTTGAATGTATCACAATTTACGTTACCTATAGTCGGTAACTAAACTTTGTATCAATTCTTTAGTTTATCAATGTTCACAATTATAATAAGAAATTTTTTTATGCATACATATATATATAGATTTAATAATATATTTAATTGTAATAAAACTATATGTTAAATAAAAGTCAGTCGTTATAAGGTATGTATAGGTATATATTATCGCTTTTCAGATAATATGTATTTGCACAATTTATCATTTTTTTTTTACTATCAGGTTTATTTGATTTTAATGATTCATTGTCAATATGATATTTAAAAAAATTGGAGCCATAACCTAGAATTAAGCATATAGTGCAAAGCATTATAGATAATAAAATATGAAAATAGAACAAAAATATTACGATGTATAATGTTTATGAGCAATTAACTATTAAAGATTTAGGAAATTGGGTTGCTTCTGGAGCAATGATATTTGGTGGTATTATTCCATATGTACCACAATACAAAGAAATTAAAAAAAGGGATAGTGCAGAAGGATTTTCTCTTTATGTATGCCTTACACTTTTAATTGCTAATACATTACGTATTTTCTTTTGGTTTGTATATTTATTTTATATATCTGATATATTTTTGTCATATTAAATAATGTATTACATATTTTTTTACAGGTTTGGGAAACATTATGAAATACCTCTTTTATTACAAAGTATATTTATGATTGTTACTATGTTTATAATGATTAAACTATGTATAAGTGTACAAAGTAGAAATCAAGTAATAAAAGTTAGAGAACGTGTATTTTCAGGTATTTTTAAATATGACAAAATAAATGAAAATAATATATATATTATATGTAATATATATAATGTATATTCAAAATTTATAACTTATATTTAAATTTAATTTGTTTAGATTTTGATGCAAATTTTTTTTGGAAATGGACAGATTTTCAATCCTATTTAGATTTTATGCTATTGTTTGCGGCATTAATAGGAATATTAACATATTTGTTAATAGATATACCAATATTTGTTGAAACTATTGGATTATTTGCAGTATTAACAGAAGCTATGCTTGGAATACCACAATTTTTACGTAATTTTTTTAATAAATCTACTAATGGAATGAGGTATAACAAGAATTAATTATAAAAAATTAATAATAAATAGTTATTTGAATAATATTTAAATTTTTAAATTACTTTTTTATGATTACAGTATTTTTATGGTTGCTATGTGGACATTAGGTGATGCATTTAAAACTTGTTATTTTATTATAAGAGAAGCTCCAATTCAATTTGAAGTTTGTAGCACTCTTCAAGTTATAATTGATATTGCAATTTTAACACAGGTATATATTTATCAAAGTAGTACAGCAATACATACAAGAGTCCCAGTTCGAATAGATTGAGATACTTTATATATGTGAATGATATAATATACTATTTCTATACTTTTTATTGACTAAAAAATTTTATCTAAAAATTTTTATTACATTGAATTTTTTATACATTTTAATTGTATTTTATTATGTATTAATTTTTTTAAATAAAATTTTGTTAATACAATAAGAAAAATTAAATTTAAATAAAATTGTAAAACACATTATTATATAATATATATTTACAACAGAAATAATTCATAAATCATATATATTTAAACCTAATTGAAAATAAAATTCATTTATTCATATAACTAGGAAAATTTTATATAGGAACTTTCAGAATTTATACTATATATTTGCAGTAAATTCACAATGATTGGTCGCAGCTTTTAATTTTAATTTACAATTTTTTTTTAATATTTTTAAGAAATAATGCTTAGATCAATCTGTCTCTTGAATTTAATAAAAATAGATTTTCAAATAAAATAAAAACGATAATATAAGAAATTACTATTTGTTATTGATCATTACTTATACTTAAAGTTTATAGATAATATACTTACAGATATTTACGGTTACAGGTATAGTGATTTTTATTAATGAAAACATTAATTTTAGTAAAAAATTTTATATATCATAAAAATATATACATATATATATATATATATATATTACATTTTGCATATTTATATTATTATATTTTTTTTAATATTTTGATATAATATTATTTTAGAATTCTGAATGTAGCTCTCTATTTTCTAATCGAAATACATAACCTAGTTCTTTAGTTTCTTAATTACTTTATAATATATTTTATAAATTATATTATTAATAAAATATCATTATAAATTATATTAAATTTATATTAAATATTTAAAAAAAATAAAAAATTAAAAATATTTATATTTATATTTATTAATTATAAAGTACCAAACCATAAAGTTGTAATGGGAGAAAGTCAGTGGAATGATTGGAAACCTTTTATTTACGGAGGTTTAGCTTCAATTTTTGCAGAATTAGGTATGTAATATAATACAATTAATTTGTAAAAGTTTATTTATAAATCAACAATCAATTTATTTATTATTTCTATAAATATATTTGTGAACAGGTACTTTTCCTTTAGATACAACAAAAACACGTCTTCAAATTCAAGGACAAAAATTAGATCAAAGATATGCACATTTAAAATATTCTGGTATGACTGATGCTTTATTTCAGATATCACAACAAGAAGGTTTCAAAGCTCTATATTCTGGGTAAATGTAATTTATATAGACAAAATATAATATTATTTTATTATTAAAATAAATTACTTTAATGTTATTAATATTATATTGAGTTAAATAAAATTATTTTATTTATATATAGAATCAGTTCAGCTATTTTAAGACAAGCTACTTATGGAACTATAAAATTTGGTACATATTACTCTTTAAAAAAAGCAGCAATGGATAAATGGGAAACAGATGATTTAGTTATTATAAATATTATTTGTGCTGCTTTAGCTGGCGCTATTTCAAGTGCTATAGCTAATCCTACTGATGTAGTAAAAGTACGTATGCAAGTAACTGGAATCAATTCAAATTTATCATTATTTGGTTGCTTTCAAGATGTATATCAACATGAAGGTGTTTGTGGTTTATGGAAAGTAAGTTAATTATTTATAAATTTTAGAAACATGTATATATGTTACATATATATATATATATATATGTATATATGTATATATGTATATATATATATATACATAATCATATATACATATTTTATTTTATATGTATTCATAAATATAATTTTATGTAGGGTGTAGGACCTACTGCCCAAAGAGCAGCAATTATTGCAGCTGTAGAACTACCTATATATGATTATAGTAAAAAAAAATTTATGATTTTATTAGGAGACAGTGTTAGTAATCATTTTGTGTGAGTAAATCATTTTTACTTATGTATTTAATTCTATATTTTATTCTTTGTGTATATACTTATTATATATTTAATTTATTAATATTATCATAATAATATAATTATTAATATATATATTTTAATTTATTATATAACAAATTTATTCAAAAGTAAGTTTATATTGTTAAATAACTCATTTATTTAATATCAATATCAAAATAATAATACCAAAATGAACCCTTATCCGGGCTATTTCTATTCATGTAACATGTTTCTTATATTATTATTCTACTAATAAATATTTCATAATTGAATTTTTGAAGCAAACAAATTTTATGCTCTTTTACAATATGTGATGTCATGTAAGTATATTTAAATAGAAAAATATATATTAATTTTATTTAAAAATTTTTTTATTTTTATTATTTTTAATATTAAAATTGTTTATTATGTTTTTTAAATTGTCAAATATTTTTTTATTTTATGAATTTTAATAATTAAAAACTTATTAAAACTTATATTATAAATGTAACTAACAAATAAAAATCTATATTTTAATTTTGAAGTTTATTTTTATATTGTATAGATAATAAGATGTTTTTGTTTTTAAAAATAACAGGTAATAAACTAAATAAGTCATATAATTGCTATAATGACTTATATTTATTAAAAAGGAAGTAATATTTTTCTAAAAATGAAAAATTTTATTTCTAGGTTCTTTCACACTGTGGTGCACATGGGCACATGTAGTACGTGGACATAGAGATGACCACAGAGAATCAAAATGGAAGTTATGTTTAATATTTCTTGTTTTATATAAAATTATTAAAATTGTGATCCAGATGATTAATTGCATTATAAATTATTTTGGTTAGCGTGTGTTTCATATAAATTTATTATTTATAATTTTGAAATGATAAAATATAAAATTAAATACTTGTTTTGCTTTTCTTTATATACTTTTAAAAATTTCTTTTATTATTAATTATTATTATTTTTTAAAAATATAATATATGAAAATATATTATACAAAATAAATTAATATTTAAATAAATTTTATGTAACATTATGTAGACATCACAATGTATAATTTATAGTGCTTGGATAAGGGTTGGTTTAATTTAGTGTAACAAAATAAAATTTTAAAATTAAATTGAATATATTTTGTACATATATATATATAATTATATATTTCAGGTCCAGTTTTATAGCTAGTATGGGAAGTGCAATAGCTTCTACTCCTATAGACGTCGTTCGTGTAAGTAAATGATTTATAAATATTTCGTTTATATTTTTATCTAAATGATAATACTATTATAGACACGTTTAATGAATCAGAGGAGGATACGTACTACAGGTGGTATATTACCACCGCATATTTATAATGGTAGCATAGATTGCTTTGTACAGGTATATATCAAATATCAAACACACACACACACACACACACACACACACACACACACACACACACACACATCATATATATACATATATAAAAAAAAAGTGTGCATATTTTTTTTATTCTTTTTAATAATATGAATTTTATTTTTTTTGCAGACTTTTAAAAATGAAGGATTTTTAGCTTTATACAAGGGTTTTGTACCTACTTGGTTTAGAATGGGACCATGGAATATAATATTTTTTATAACATATGAACAATTGAAAAAACTAGATGATTCATAATAATGCATTGAATTGTTCAAGTAAATAATAATAAATGAAAAAAATATGTATGAACATACGATAAAACAATTGTAACTAGAATTTGTAATGAATATTTGTATTATATAATTTATTTTTATGAAATTTTATTTAAACATATAAAAGAAGCTATGCAGAAAAAATAACAAAAATAAATAGAACTTATTTTTTTTAATTATATCCAAATTACAGATTAATAAAAATATTTATAATAAAAAATATGAAATATCGAATCAATATTAAAAAATATTAATTATTTAATATATAAATTAGAATGCACATTACAATTGCATTTTATAAATTTAATGTAACTTTAATAGCTTTTTTAAATTTAAATATAGTACCACATGTTAATTTTTTATGTTCCTTATATTTATATTTGGATTTTTATAAAAATATAAGATTGGTTAAAATTTTTTAAAATATATCTAAAAAATTAAAAAAAAATTACTTAATACATATTATTATATATATATCCATATTATATTATATATCCATAAAAATTTGTTAAATTTGCAAAAAGTATATATTAAAGAAACAATATTTCAAATGTATGTAATATTTGTATTGAAATTTTTTTTATAAACTATTAGGAATGCATAACAGTATGATATATTAAAATATTATAAATATAAATATATGCAACAGATATTAAAATATTCAACAAATATTATAACAATTTCAAATGAATATAACATGTATGTATAATTTTTTTGCTATATGTTTACTAAGTTAAAAAGTTTTGTTATAAATTATTATAAATTAATAATGAAATTTATAATTAAAAAATCTTTCATTGAAAATAATACTAATTATACATTTTTACAATTCCACACAATTATCTTTTTATCTTTTCCACCAGTTAAGATTATATTATTTTCTGTTGACACTGATAATGTATTAATTGGACCTAAAATATTAATAAAATATAATTATTAGCTTTTTAATTATTAATTAAATTAAATCAAATATTGAAGTAATAGATTTTATGATATATAATACAAATAATTATAATTAATTAATATTAATATATAAAATATTGTACCATCATGGCAATGTATTTGCGTAATAAAAATTGCTCCTTGACGATTCCAAACATTAATATTACCATTGTTATCTCCTATTAATAAAAAGGTTTTGAACCACGTTAATGTTAAAGGTTCATATTCTATAGTCGTACGATAAATCTGAGTACTCGTATAAATATCAATAATGTTTAACATTTTATCCTCTGCACATGATATTATACTTTTTCCTTCTTGATCAAATACCATTGCATTTATTTTATAATTATGTGCTGTAGAGAATAAAATAATCATATATCTTAAAATAAAGAAAAAATTATTTTAAACTTTACAGTGAAATATACTTTACCTTTTACAGTGAATTGAAGATTATATGTATCCATATTCCATAAAAAAATTTCTCCATCTTCTGTGCCAGATATCAATAATGTTTCGTCTCTATAAATATTTCAATAAAAAGATAAAAATATAATATTAATATTAATAAAATTAAAAGTATAGTATTTAATGCAATTTATAAAATATAAATAATTTTACCCTGATATATTAATGCAAGTTACTTTAGAATCATGATCTAATTGTGCTATAAGGCACTCAGCTGGTTTAATTTTTGTCCCAGAAGAATAACTTTGCCAAACTTTTGCTGTACAATCCCATGAACCAGAGATAATAACCTGTCGAGTAGTACTTAGTGCTAAACAAGAAACAGCATCTTCATGGCCTTGAAGTACATCTATTATTCTACCAAACTCAATATCATAGAATATTCTGTAAAAAAAAATATTAATTAATAGAATGAAATACACATACAAATATATACAAATATAAAATATTATAAAAATTATAAATAATAATAATATAAATAAAATTTACTTAACATACTCACAGTGTATTGTCCCAAGAACCAGCAACTAATATATTGCGATGAGAAGATGTATAATATGATATGCAAGAGGAAAGTGGTAATAATGATAAAGGTACATTACGCGTTAATTTTTTATTTTTTATGCTATATAATTTAAGCATTCCATCTTGTCCTACTGATATTACTTCATTTATTTCTTCCCTATTCGTTATGATAATACTACTTACACTTTCTTTATGAGATTGAAACATTATTAATTCATGTAATTCGAAAATCTCTATAGGATTTTCCTCATTTTCTAAAAACACGAGAACAATGTTTTTATTAATCACAATGTGCGCATTTATATTTTAATAGATTAATTTATCAATTGAAAAAATATTATACCTTTATATATACCTTTTTCGTTTTTAGTTGATATTAAATCAATTTCAGTATATAATTTATCCAGAATAAACATTGAACGTTTTGGATGTGGTAAAGTAAAAATTTGTTTTGGTATTTGACCAAACTCCATGATTTGTATTTCCAAACCATGTCTATCATTAATATCTCTAATAGTATCTAAGTCTACTGCTCCTTCATAGCACAGATGGAAAAATACTAGAATACAATATTAATATAATTTATATAAATTATATTATAAAATAAATATTATTTATACATTAATTTTTACAATTAATACTTAATTTACCATTATTAGCTTTCTCTGCTTCAATTCCTCTCTGTTTATATCCAAAAATTAAATCAATCCAATGATGAAGATTTTGAGAAACATAATCATTCTCTAAAGCATTTCTTAATATTTTTACGAAATGAGCTGGTCCTGGGATTCAATAATTAATTTAGTTGAACTTTAAATAATTATTTGTAAATTGCAAATTACATACCATTTGCCCATGGTGGTAATTGTACATCTCCTATTTTTGTTCCATCATATCGATAACCAAAATCAATACCATAACTATTTACTAAAAAATCACCACCGTTGTTTATGTCATAAAATTCCGGGATCAGTTCTTTAAAGTCAGACATGTTCACCAAAACATTTTTCCATACGTCAGCTACACTGTTAGGTGTTTTTGTTGGTAAGAGTGAAACAAAAAATCGATTCTGCAGAGTCGACAGAGTAATTATGTATTTTTATGGTACAATAAGCAATTACCATAAAATTTTGGCTTGTCTGTACGATTAAAAACTTTATTCACATATTCTTATTATCATTATTAAACTAAATAATACATACATTTTTTTAATGCTTATGAATTTAGTACTTTGAAAAAAACTGTAGCAATATATCTTTTTATAAAATATACATACCTATTAAACATTCTATCTGGATGATCAAATCTTCCATTTTGTAAACAAAGCATGTACTGAGGATATTTTCGTACTAAATAAAATAATACAAATCCTGGTGCACTATAATGAGAACCATACAAAAATTTTGGTTCTGACATTTCTAAATATCGTTCCTAAAATATAATACCAATATTTCTGACATTTATAAGTCATTATTATTAGAAAAAATAAAAATAATAAATATATATATATAAAAAAAACCTTTAATCTTTCTAGCCGATTTGATTCAAGAGCTCCAATAGGTTTTGAAAGATCTCTATATATTCTAGGATCTTTTAAATCCAATGTAGTAGATGTGTAATCTTGTAATACCCATGGCATAACTGGATATTGGGTTAAATCATGAAAAGTTCTATCTGCTAAACTGAAAAATAATACTTAAATTAATTAATATTGTAAAATTTGATACTATAATTATAATCAATATAAATTACCTATTAATATACAAAAGATAATCATAATTTGATAGAGAACCATTCTGCCATCTCATAGTCATTTGATCTTGAGGTACTCTTTCTAAAGAAATTGTAGGTTGATTTAATAAACTTGTATATAATTCATCTCTATCATTTTGATTTTTTAATGATATAAATAAATGTTCAGCCTTATTTTCAGGTTGACGTAACCATTTAATTTCAAGCCCCTTAAAAAAAATTGATATATATCAAATTATAATGATTACATTAATTTAAAAGATCATACTTACAATTTGACTTAGAAGAAATCGTCTTTTATTAATATTAATAATATCTTTTAGTTGTATTTTTAGAACTGGATGCTAAAATCATAAAATTATTTCTTTAGTATGAATAGAAATTATTTATAATTATCATTAAAATACATACTTGATCTAAATTATTATAAGGTTGAAAATAAATTCTTGAAGTTGTTAAAAGTATTCTTCCTGGATTTATAACAAGAGGTAACACTTTATTTGCTTGAATTTCTAACACTACCTGTTCATATAAATCCTCTAACCACGAAGTATCAAATGATACTCTAGACTGTCGAGAATGTACAATAGCCATAATCTATATAAAAATAATAATTTTATTATATATATTATTATATTTTAATGTAATAATATAAATAATAATTTTAGAAAATACCATAGCATTTTGTTCAGCAGTTGGTAAAGTAGCTGCTCTAAATAGTTGTAGAATATGTGGAAGGTAATCATCTATTTTTGCATAATTAAAGAAAAAGTGAAAAGTAGCATTTTGATGTATAAATTTATATGGTGCAAGTATATTCTTCTCTAGCATCTTTACATACTGCTTACATTGAATCAATAATATATTGCCACATCTTGCAAATAAAATAAAATTTGTTAATAAAAAAAAAGTAATTATAATTATGTTAAAAATCAAAAATATACTAACTTTGTTATATCATTGTTGGATTGACATTGATCAATAGTTAGAGTTTCTTTAAGTTGAATCTTAATTAAAGGCTGATTAATATCTTTATTTACAAATACTAATGATTTTGAACATAATTTTAATCTTCCATCTTTCCAGTTTTGTTCTTCTGAAGTAGAATTATCAAATAATTTCATTTGAACACTATAATCTTCAAAAAATATTTCCCCAGGTTCTAAAAGGAGCATAGTGAACCTGATACATACAAAAAATTTTTTATTTATTAAATGATTATAACATGTCATTAAATAATTTATTATTAAAAATATTTAATATAAATGATAATTAAATTAGTGTATATATTTTAAATTAATTTATATATATATTTAAATATATTACTAGAAAGTAATTATATTTTTATAAATAAACATATAATTAAAAGAAAAGATTACCTTTCTTTTTCCATTGTTACAAAAATAAATATAAATTATAATGATAGTAAATTGTAAATGATACGCATAATTAATACTTTTTATCAATCAAATTTACGTGATCATTTCTCATTAAATAAAATATAAATTTTATTTTAGGTTGTGTTAAATGACAATATGAATCATCATATACGTATGTATATATCTTTTCAGATGGCTGTTAATGAAACAATAAGGCTTGCTCTATTCGATGCATTTCTATATATACATTTAAAAATATAAAAATTAAAAAAGGAAAATATTTCTTATTATTTAATTAAAAACTAAATATAAATAAAATATAAAATTTTTTCTTTATTTCATTATTTTTTAAAGCAATATTAATATACTTAAATATATTATATTAAATTGAAGTATAAAAATCGTGTGACGAAGTTTTGAGCACCACTGATTTTTAAAGAGAACCGAGAAGAATCGAATATATTCCGGTTCTTTCGTCTCATTTCTCAAATCACGCATATCATCAATACAACAAACCGGTGCTCTTTAAATCGGTCATTTTCAATTTATTCAGACATTTTTGTTTCTTTATAGTGATTACATTTTGTTTATAATGGAGAAATTAATGAAACATTTATCCAAAATAAGGATACCGCAGAAAAATGATAAAATATACAAGGATGAATGTGTTTATTCTTTTGATACACCAGTAAGATTTCATGATGATTTTATAATTAAAGATGATAATATAATCTGTTAATTGTATTATTATTTTCATTATTCTTTTTAAGGATACTTGTACTGGTTTGTATATTAATCTTACTACGTTCTTGGGATTAGGTCAGGATTATATACAACATTATTATCAATTAACAGAAAATCCTATATTTTTACATATTAAAAGGAGAAGGAAAGAAGTAAGCTTTTTATTATTAAATTTTAATATTGAAAAATATATTGATATAAAATATGGATTGTTTATATATAATGATTAATGTTATTTATATATATATATATATATATATATATTATATTAGATTCCTTCTAAACATCAAGGAGATGGTCCTGAAAAGAAAATTACTAGATTAGCAATAGGAACAACTGATGGATTTACACCAGATCAGCAAAAATATACTTATCATGAATCTTATCAAATTATTATTTTACCAGATTTTATTACGATACCATATCCAACAGATAATTTACCCCAAGAAGTAAGTTTTATATAAAAAAACATAAAAGTAATAATAAAAATAAATTATAAAAAAATATAATTTATATAGGTTGAAGTTGCAATTAAATATATATTGGAAGCAGAATCTGCAACAAAAGTAGCCGAAGTAGAAGCATTGACTGGAACTTGGGATGGAGAAATAAAAGCAATTTCAAAGTAAGAATTAAAACTAAGATATTTGTTACAGTATAAAATATTTTTATTATCATCTTATATAAATGTCAAATTTATAGACATGCAGCAAATCTTAAACAATTAGATAATGGAAAAAAAATACCACCCAATGGATGGAAATGTGAAAAATGTGATTTAACTCAAAATCTTTGGCTTAATTTAACTGATGGTAGTATTTTTTGTGGACGTAAATTTTATGATGGAACAGGAGGAAATGATCATGCAGTTGAACATTATAGAGCTACAGGCTATTCCTTAGCTGTAAAATTAGGAACTATAACTAAAGAAGGAAAAGCAGATGTATTCTCATATGATGAAGATGATATGGTTGAAGATCCAAATTTAGTATCACATTTAGCTCATTGGGGTATTAATATTGCCCAAATGGAGAAAACTGATAAATCTATGATAGAACTTGAATTAGATCTCAATCAAAGATTTGGAGAATGGGTTGCACTTCAAGAAACAACAAGTAAATTAACACCTTTGTATGGATCTGGATATACAGGACTTGCTAACTTAGGAAATTCTTGTTATTTAAATAGTGTCATGCAAATGTTATTTGTGATTCCAGATTTTATTAAAAGGTTTGTAATTTAATTTCAAGTAGATAAATTATATTATAGAAACTAAATATAATACAAATATATAGTAGAAACATACATAGAAAAAAATTTAATCACTGTATTGCAATAATTATTCAGTCAATATATTTTTTAATAAAACATTATGTCTTTCTTCATAATAGGATCAGTATTTAATAATCGGAGGTGAATTTCAGATTTATAGATGGTGCATCACAGATATTTCAACAAAATTATACCGATCCAGCTAATGATTTTAATGTTCAAATGTAAGTAAAATTACAACATGTGAATAACTTTAAGATACAAGATTGATATTGTAGGGCTAAACTTGGAATTGGTTTACTTTCTGGTAAATACTCTGATCCATCAGATACAAACAATGAACACGAATCACGACAAGGTATTCCGCCTCGGATGTTTAAAACATTAGTCGGTCGTGGACATCCCGGATTTTCCTCAAATCGACAACAAGATGCACAAGAATTTTTTCTCCACATCATAAACATAATAAATGTAATCATATTATATTTTATATTTTTAATCAGATATATAAAAATAATTTATTTCATTTTTCATACGAAGTTACAATACTAATATCAGGAAATTGATCGCACAGCGTCACAGTCGTCGTCAAATGAATCCAACCGATTGTTTTAAATTTCAAGTTGAAGAAAGGTATCAATGTAGTCGTTCTAACAAAGTAAAGTATACCTATCGTACGGAATATTTATTACCACTACCAATACCTATAGAAACTGCTGTAAATAAGGTAAATAAATTATATAATTTATAAATTTTAATTTGAAAATTATCTTTATATATACATATTTTATATAGGATGAAGTCACAGCTTATGAAACATTGAAAAATGAAACTGAAGCAAAAGGACAAAAATTGGATTCGAATGCCCTTGTCAGACCACGTATAAAACTATCATCTTGTTTGCAAACATTTATTCGACCAGAAATAGTGGAACAATTTTATAGCTCAGCTTTAAATGAAAAAACAACAGCACAAAAGTAATATTGCAAAATAATGTATATATATATATATAATATATAATAATATTAAAAATATTGTACATAATACTATATACATAATAATGTATTTTTTATAGAACAACTAGGCTTGCTACTTTTCCGGACTATCTATTAATTCATTTAAAAAAATTCATGATGAAAGAAGATTGGACACCAGTTAAATTAGATGTAGCAGTTGAAATGCCAGACATATTAAATTTAAGTTCTCTTCGAGGATTTGGTTTGCAACCTACAGAAGAATTATTACCGGAAACAATTGGGACTGAACCTCCACTTATTTATGATTCCGTGATTTTGAATCAATTGACAGATATGGGATTTCCACCAGAAGCTTGTGAAAGAGCTCTATATTTTACAGAAAATCGTGGCTTAGAAGCAGCCACAAATTGGTTAATGGAGCATATTGCAGATTCAGATTTTGCAGATCCTTTTGTACCTCCTGGAATCGATGTCAAACCAGGTAACTAAATGTTTTTACAAATTTTTTTATAAAATATTTAATTATCAATCTACATATATTTTTATATATTTATTTATTTTTAGAAAAAAATAAATTTATAGCAAATGAAGATGCTGTAGCTATGTTAATGGGGATGAGTTTCACAAGAGAACAAGCAACAAAAGCTCTTAAAGCGACTGATAATAATTTAGAACGTGCAGCAGATTGGATTTTTAGTCATCAAAATGAATTGGATGCTTTAGAAAGTGAAAATGAACCAGAACATTCCAAGGAAATATTTAGAGATGGAATCAATCGTATGTTTGTATTTTTACAATATTTTATATTTATATATAATTTATATATTTGTATCAAAAACTAATTTACTTCGATATTTATTCTTTGTATTTATTTCTTTGTATTATTAAATATTGTATTTTTATATTTTATAGAATATAAATTAGTAGGATTTATATCACATATGGGTACATCAACAATGGTAGGACATTATGTATGCCATCTTCTGAAAAATAATCGATGGGTGATATATAATGATGATAAAGTATGTATAAAAAATATAAAATAAATTAAACATAACAAATTTATTTATTTGAATCGTTTATTACAGGTTGCATTATCTGAAAATCCACCAAAAGAATTAGGATATATATATTTATATCAACGCATTGATTAGATTATACAATTATTTTGTATAAAAAATGTATTCTATTACACTTCAACAATAAAAAATATAATAAATAAATTTGTTTTTTATTTTACAAAAAAATATTAGAAATTTTAATTGCATATAAATAATTTATTATTTATTGCCCAATTATAGTTGTTGTTACAATTTGATATAAATAAAAATATATAAAAACGTTGATTTATTTATATAATGGCACTATTTTATAATGTGTTATATCGTTTTACATTTTATATTTCAATTCGTACAACATCATTTACATAATATTAACAGGATTAGAAAATTTTAAATCTAAATAATGTAACAAATTTTTCAGTTGTATTTAATTTTTTGTATATTTAATATTTAGAATTTTATTAATCTATATATCAATTTCAACATGAATATAAATTATATATTTTTTATAAAATTATATATTTTATAAAATATATAATTTATAAATCTAATTAAATTTTTTTATAGTATATAAATATTTAACACTGTAACTAATGTAAAAATATATTTTCAAAAATATTTTAAGTAAAATGCCACATCGATAAATATTTAAGACTATTGTATCAAAAAATGATACATTTTTAAAACAATACTGTGTTAATTTCCTATTCTATTATTCTATGTTTATTCATTATATTCTAACATTTCAATTGAAAATTATTCATTATATTCTAACATTTCAATTGAAAAATTTACAACTTATTTCACTTAAGTAATACATTATTTATTCTTTATAATTTAAATGCATTACTTATAGTGAATTTTGTATGTATTTACATAAAACAATTTCATTAAGCAATGTTATATTATTTTTATATAGTAATTACTTATTTAATAACTTTTAATAATTTATTTATTTGCATCAAAATACTTTTTGTTATTAAATTAATATTGTCACTTGTTTTTAAC